AACTGCTAAGGGGAGCTTAAAGAACTTTCTGAGAAAGTTTGAGAAACGTCCTGGGGAAGTTTGAGGAAATCCCAGAGAAGTTCGACCAGCCTCCAGAGAACAATTTACTTTCAGGGGAGAAGATTGATGATCTTCCAGAGGAAGTTTGATAAACTTCCCAGGGAAGTTTGACGATCTTCCAAAGGGGAATTTGAAGGAGTCCTAAAGGAACATTAAAGAACTTCCTTTGAAAGATTTAGAAATATCCAGGGGAAGTTTGAATAAATTCATGAGGCATTTTGATGAACCTCCATTGATGATCTTCCCTGGATAATTTGACGATCTTCTAAGGGAATTGTATAAAACTTTCTGAAAAAGATCGAGGCAATTTCAAACAATGTTTGCGTAACTTCCAGGGCAAAATTTTGGAATCGTCCTGAATAAATTTCAGAGAAAGCTTGTTGAACTTCCCGGATAGTTAGACCATCCTCCACGAGATAATTTAACGAAGTCCTAAGTGAAGTTTAAAGAACTTCGAAAGGTAATTTGAAGAACTTCCTGTGATAAATTGATAAACATCCAGGGGAAGTTTGAGGAAATTCAAAAGGATGTTTGATGAACCTCCGGGGGAAGATTAATGATCTTCCAGGGGAAATTTGACGATCTTCTAGAACTCCTAAGGGAGGCTTAAAAAACTTCCTGAGAAAGATTGAGAAACTTCCTGGGGAAGTTCGAGGAAATTCCAGACGATGTTTGAGTAACTTCCTGGGAAAAATATGATATGAGAATCTTCCAAAGGATTCAGAGGAAGTTTGATGAACTTCCTGGAAAAAAAATGAAGATCTTCCCGGAGAAGTTTGACCATCCTCTAGAGGACAATTTGAAGAAGTCCTAAGGGAAGCTTGAAGAACTTGAATTCATAAACATCCAGGGGAAGTTCGAGGTAATTCCAGAGGAATTTTCATGAACCTCCACGAGAAGATTGATGATCTTCCAGGGAAAATTTTACGATCTTCTAGGGGAGTTTTGAAGAACTCCTAAGGGAAGCTTAAAGACCGTCCTGGTTTAGAAACATACCGGAAAAGTTTGAGGCTATTCCAGACGAAGTTTGGGGGAAAATTTGAGAACATTCCAGGGGAAATTTGGGGACCTTGAAAGTTTGAAAAACTCCCGGGGAACAGTTTGAGGAACAACCAGGGAAAATTTTAAGAATTCTCAAGGGAAGTTTGAAGAACATTCTGAGAAAGTTTGTGAAACATTCAGAGGAAACGTGAGGCCGGAGGAAGTATGTGGTGCCTAGAAAAAAGCAGGAAATTTGATGAATCTTCTGTATAAGATTAATGATCTTCCAGGGATAATTTGAGGATCTTTCAGGGTGTTTTGAAGAACTCCTAAGCATGAGGAACTTCCATGGAACATTTGAGAAAACTTCCAGGGGAAATTTGAGGATATTCCAGGAAAAAGTTTAGAAGCTTCCATGGAATATTCCAGGAAATTCCAGAGAAAATTGTGAAGCTATCAGGGGAAATGTGAGGAACAGCCAGTGAAAATTGCAGGCCCTTCCAAGGAATTTTTGGGATATTTTGAAGAACTTCTAAGAGAAGTTTGGTCAACTTCCTGGGAAATTTGGAAGATCTTCCAGGGGAAAGGATTTTTCAAGAAGAAATTGAGGATCTACCAAGGTAATTTTGAAGAACTTCTAAAAGGGAAGCTTGAGAAATTTCAATGGAACATTTGAGGAACTTTCCAAGGAAAGTCTAAGGATCTTTCTGAAGAAATTAGAGGAACTTTTGAAGGGAAAATTGAGGATCATCCAGGGAAAAGTTCAGGAGCTTCCATGGAATATTTCAGGACAATCCAAGGAAAGTTTATTGATATTTCAAGAGGAATTTGAGGATCTACCAAGGGAATTTTGAAGAACTTCTAAAAGGGAAGCTTGAGGAATTTCCATGGAACATTTGAGGAACTTTCCAAGGGAAGTCAAAGAAACTTTCAGATGAAATTTGAGGAACTTTCCAAGGAAAAATTGAGGATCATCATTGAGGAAGGTCCAGGAGCTTCCATGGAATATTCCAGGACAATCCAGAGAAAATATGAGGACCTTTCAGGGGATGTTTGAGGAACATTCAGGGAAATTTTGAAGAGAAGAGAAGTTTGAACAACTGCCTGAGGATGCGTGAGGATCTTCCATGGAACATTTGAGAACTTTCCAAGAAAAGTCTAAGGAACTTTCAGATGAAATTTGAGAACTTTCGAAGGAAAGTTCAGAAGCTTCCATTCCAGAACATTTCAAAGAAAATTTGAGAAGCTATGAGAGGAAATGTGAGGAACATCCATGGGAAATTTAAGAACCTTTCAGAGACATTTTGAAGAACTTCTAAGAGAAGTTTGATCAATCTCCTGAGAAATTTGAGGAAGGGAATTTTCGATGAACTCCTAAGGGAAGCTTGAGAGAAATTCCATTGAATATTTGATTTTCCAGGGAAAATTTGAGGATCTTCGAGGGAAAAGTTCAGAACTTCCATGGAATATTCCAGGACATTTCAGAACAAATTTGAGAATCTTTCAGGGGAATAGCGAGGAATAATCAGGGGTAATTTCAGGATCATCCAAGGAAATTTGAGAATCTCCCAGGGAAATTTTGAAGAACAACTAACAGAAGTTTGAACAATTTCGTTAGACATTTCGAGAATGTTCCAGGGGAAAGATCAGAATCTTCCAAGGAAAGTTTAAGGATCTTTCAAGAGGAATTTGAGGATCTACCAAAGGAATTTTGAAGAACTTCTAAAAGGGAAGATTGAGGAATTTCCATGGAACATTTGAGAAACTTTCCAAGGGAAACCTAAGGAACTTCCGGTGAAATTTGAGGAACTTTCGAAGGGAAAATTGAGGATCGTGCTGGGGAAGGTTCAGGAGCTTCCAAGGAATATTCCAGGATAATTCAGAGAAAATATGAGGACCTTTCAGGGGATGTTTGAGGAACATAAAGGGATAATTCCAGTACCATCCATCGAAATGTGAGGATCATCCAGGGAAATTTTGAAGAACATCTAAGAGAAGTTTGAACAACTGCCTGAGGTTGTTTAAGGATCTTCCATGGAACATTTGAGAACTTTCCAAGGAATGTATAAGGAACTTTCAGAAGACATTTGAGAAGCTTTCGAAGGGAAAGTTCAGAAGCTTCCATGGAATAATCCAGGACATTCCAACGAACATTTGAGAAACTATTAGAGGAAATGTGAGGAACATCCATGAGGACCTTTCAGAGATATTTTGAAGAACTTCTAAGAGAATTTTGATCGATCTCCTGAGAAATTTGGGGAAGGGAATTTTGAAGAACTCCTAAGGGAAGCTTGAGGAAATTCCATAAAATATTTGAGCAACCTTCCAGAAAATTTGAGGATCTTCGAGGGAAAGTTAAGGATCTTCCATGGAATATTCCAGGACATTTCAGAACAAATTTGAGAATCTTTCAGGGGAAGAGCGAGGAATAATCAGAGGTAATTTCAGAACCATCCAAGGAAATTTGAGAATATCCTAGGGAGATTTTGAAGAACATCTAACAGAGGTTTGAACAACTTCGTGAGACATTTTGAGGATGTTCCAGGGGAAAGTTCAGAATCTTCCAAGGAAAGTTTAAGGATCTTTCAATAGGAATTTTGAGGAACTACCAAGGGCATTTTGAAAGGAAGCTTGAGGAATTTCCATTGAACATTTGAGGAACTTTCCAAGGGAAAATTGAGGATCGTCCAGGAGCTTCCATGGAATATTCCAGGACAATACAGAGTAAATATGAGGACCTTTCAGGGGATGTTTGAGGAACATAAAGGGATAATTTCAGTACCATTTTTATGAATTTCTAAGAGAATTTTGATCAATCTCCTGAGAAATTTGGGGAAGGGAATTTTGAACAACTGCCTGAGGATGTTTGAGGATCTTCCATGGAACATTTGAGAACTTTCCAAGGGAAGTTTAAGGAACTTTCAGAAGACATTTGAGCTTTCGAAAGGAAAGTTCAGAAGCTTCCATGGAATATTCCAGGACATTCCAAAGAAAATTTGAGAAGCTATCAGAGCTATCAGAAATTTTGGGAAGGGAATTTTCTAAGAATTCCTAATGAAAGCTTGAGGAAATTCGATAGAATATTTGAGCAACCTTCCAGGGAAAATTTGGGAGCTTCCAGAGGAAATTTCAGGAGCTTCCATGGAATATTCCAGGACACTCCAGAACAAATTTGAGAATCTTTCAGGGGAAGAGCGAGGAACAATCAGGGGCAATTAGAGGACCATCCAAGGAAATTTTGAAGAACATCGAACAGAAGTTCGGACAACTTCGTGAGACATTTTGAGGATGTTCCAGAGGAAAGTTTAAGGAACTTTCAGGAGAAATTTTAGGAGCATCCAGGCGAAATAAGAGGATCTTCCAAGAGAAATTTCATCAGCTTTCATGGAATATTCTAGGACATTCCAGCAAAAATTGAAAAGCTTTCAGAAGAAGTTTGAGGAACATTCAGGGGAAATCTCTGGGCCTTCAGATAAACTTGAGGATCTTCCAGAGAAATTTTGAATAACTTCTAAGGTAAGTGTCAACAACTTCCGGAGGAAGGTTGAGAATCTTTTAGAAGAAAATGGAGGATCTTCCAAGGAAAGTTTGATAGCTGAAAGGTGAAATTTGAGAAAATTCCGAGGGTAATTTGAGGATCGCCCAGGGGAATTTTAAAGAACTTCTAATGGAAGTCTAAAGAACTTCCAAGGAAAATTTTGGCGATCTGATTGTAGTACTTCCAGGGATAAATTTAAGGGAATTTCCAGCGGTAGCTTGAGGATTTTCCAGGGGACGTTTGAGAAACTTTAGATCGGAGGAAAGTCCAGAGGAAGAAATTCGATATTAAATATTGGCACTGTCAGTTTAAGATAAATATACAATAACTGATAACGGACGAAAATGTAAGTAATTCTGAACCCGCGACCGGGAGAAGGGCGTCACAGCTAAATGTTAACCCAAGATGCCCAATTTATTTATTTTTCATTTCTCGCATCTAAATACATCAACTTGCATTGCAGAAAATCTTCATCTATCTTCTTGATATCTACTCAGCTTAGATGGTAGTTGTTTGCCACCTTGCTGCATACACTAGCAATCTCAAATAGTGATGTCCCTCTCGTATCCCGGTCGCAAAGATGTCAACCTCAATAGAAATTTGCGTATTTGCTTTCGGCAGAGTTGCCAGTCTTTTTGAGCTGTTGTCCTCGGTTGAACATAATTACAATGTTCAGTTGGATAAAAATGACTTTTGAAGGTGATTTCAGGCCGTTCCTTTATCAGTCTTTCACCCCCTATTCTGTATTCCATTCGAAACGGATTTCCCATACAATTTTGGGGGGAAAAGCGTTTCAAACGAAATTGAGAATAGGGGTGTTTAAAAAGTAAAATCCACTTCGATGAAATTTGGTTTTCTCCCTAATGTCACGTCAAATCTCCGACTTCGAATCCACCGTGCTACAAATGATCGTATGTTAAAAAAAGAGATTAACTTTAAAACAAAAATGTTTAAAATCACAAACTCACAAGAGGCCATGGGTGTGGTATTAAGCAGCGGATTTTTCTTCTTATGTGTGAGCGTGAATGCTTGAGGGTTGCCGTTTGTTTGTAAATATACAAGTTTAAAATATTACCATTTAAAACATATATTCATATAAGAACAATACTATAACACGAAATCATCTTCCTTAGCTCTTTGCGCTTGCTTGTTCTGCCTATTTCATTTGCTCCTCTAGCGAGAGAGAGATTAGGGGTCAACATCGACAGCGACGACACGACTAAACGACGAATGGCGATCAGCTATTTCTGCTTCTGCCTCTTCTTCTTCTTCCGCTTCTACTACCTACTCGTGTGTGTGATCGATCTTGCTGCACTTATCTGTGAGTGTTTTTCTGTGTGTGTGTGTGTGTGTGTCAGTGTCAAAGAGAAACGACGGATTAAATCATCACAATTGGTTGCTTGTTCCATTTATGTTTTGTGTTTTACATTCTTAGCTTCATTCTGTTTTCTTTTGCAAATTGCAACATTTCTCTCGGTTAATTAATTGCACTCATCTTCTGTTTTAGTCGTTGCAATTTGTTTCGCTTTTTTACCAATTGGAAAAGGGGGAAAAAGGGATGTATGTTTTTTGTTACTTTTGCGTTTTCTTTTTCTTTTTTTCGAGATAGCAAATATGTTTTCGAACGAGAAGGTGTGAGAGATAGAGCTTTTGCTTTGCTTGTTTAATATACACTAGTGATTTTTTTTTTCGTTTAGCAGAAGGAAAGAGACATGGGAAAAGAACAATAATTTACAACGAAGGGTAGGCCGACGACGATTTTCGAAAGAATGTGGGGATTTATACACAACTATCTTACGTGCTAGGAATCGTAGCTTTCTTTCATTTAATTTACTTTAATTAGCAATAAATTGATCACTTGACTTGAATTGTTTCCTTTTTTTTTTTCTTTTCGCGCTAACTATTTACATCGAGACACTTTTCATTTGTTTCTATTTTGCTGACAATGTGTTCCATGGAGGGGGAAAATTTGCATACTTTCATACAAGTCGTGCACGGCCTTCCCCTCCCGGCAAGGGAGAGGGACCTGCGAATGTGTTTCATGCGTGTGTGTGTGTGTGTGATCACCTTTGTTTCTTTATATCCTAAGTTTTGCGTTTAGTCGAAAAAGAACATAAGTGTGAAAATGCAAAAATCGCTGCCACTTTATTACAGCTGCTGCTGCTGCTGCTGCTGCCGACCGGTTAAACTCTAAGAATTAATAAATAGCTTGTTCTTATCCCTAATGTTGGTTCGCGAGCCGAGCGTTGGCTCCTCCAGCGCCCGGAACCGCACGAAACCTTGCTCGGCGACCAGCATCGTCGAGCTATCACCGCCTGCTTCTCCGGCCGTCGGTGCCGGAACAATCTTACCAGGCAAAACCCCACTCGAGGAACCTCCGCTGCTGCTGCCCGGACCCAACCCGTTAACCGGGACGTTCGATGCGGACACGGTCGGCGACGAGCTGCCCGGGTCCTGGTTCGGAGGACCATGATCGCTTCCGTTGTTATTGAACCCCGTGTAGCTCGAGCTGGACGAATCCCGGGACCGTTTCTTGCTGTGATAGTAGCTGGCCGCACTGCTATTATCGTCAAAGTTGTTGATATTGTCCTGGGACGATAGGTGGTCTGCACCGACGGCGACACCATTCACCAACCGATCGTTGAAGCTTCCCGGATGGACCAATTCTCCACCAGGGAGATTCCTCGGAGCTGCCTGCGGGTGATGGTGGTGGTGATGGTGATGATCCGGGACAGCTCGACCCGAAGAGCTTAACGTTTGAGCACCATTCATATGTCGCTCCGGACCAATCCCTCGAGGAGGTCGTCCCTGACCTTGCTGCAGCTGCTGTTGCTGTTGCAGTTGTTGCTGTTGTAGCTGCTGCTGCTGCTGCTGTTGTATTGCACCACGGTTGTTGGACGAAGCCGAAGACGAAGCCGACGAGGTCGAATTATTGTTATTCCGCCCACTACCGCCGGCCTGCTGATTAAAATGCATTCCACCAATGTTATTCAGCGTCCCACTCTTCCTCACACCGATCCTCCTTTCGAACGAATCGTTGTAGTTGTTGAAGTGGTTGTAGTGGTGATGACCCACCGTATTCGCGCCGTCATAGTTTGCCTGACCGCTCTTCAGCGTCTTCAGGTTCTTCGACGCCCGGAACTCTCCCCGGGAAATTGACTGCGACGAAGCCGCTTGATCAAACGACGGACGTTCAAAGTTCTGGAAATCATAATTCCTTGGACCTTGCTGGATGTGAACCGGAGGAACCGCCGCACCCCGCAAGCTCTTCGTATCGTACGGAGCGTTGATCGGTTCCGAGTAGCAGTTATCCATGATGTCGTGATACTGAGGTCCATCCCGCGGCTCCCCTCTGTGGTGATGCTTCAACTCAAAGTTCGGGTTTTCGTAATGATCCGGCATCTGCTCAGTATCGTTCATAAAATCCTCGTGCTGATCTGCCGGCTGACTACCGTTGTAGTTATTACTATAGTTGTGCGAGCTCGATCGCATACTATTCGTCTCGAGCGATCGTTGAAAATCTGCACCCGCTCCCGGTCCCAGCTGCAGATCCTGATTACTATTCTGCTCCAAGTTCAGCGAGTTCAACGCAAAGTTATCGTCATAGATCGGCTTCCCCGTCCTCAAAGTATACGTGTGCAAGTTCGTATTAGCGTTACAAACCGCCGGATAGTCAGTCTCAAAGTTTTCCTGGCTCGACGAAGACGTGCACGGGAACAGGGCAAAGCCACTGGCATTCGGTTGCTCCATATCCTTCTCCCTCTGAATAACCTTCGAGGTTCCCGTCTTCAGCCCCGTAACCCACGAGAGCAACGCAATGATCACGATCTCGATGAACCTCAAACTGAACTGGTAGCCCCACTGGAACCAATCGATCTCGATGTGCGACGCCCAGAGCGTCTTCTTGGCCGAACTGTCATTCAGATTATTGTTCGGCGAGAGCTTAACCTTGGTCTGTGAGCTAATACTGATGGCACCGTAGATCTGCAATGCTGCCAGCAGGATAAACAGCAAAGCCGTCGCGATCGTGATATGAATGGCATACGACAGGTTGTTATACCCATGAATGTAGTTCTGGCTCTTGTGCAGAATCCGCTTTAACAACCGGTACATGTACAGATACAGGATCCCCAGCGACAAGCAGATGAAGATGTAAATAATCTGACAAATCAACGACAGCACTCTCGGTGGAATCTGGATATTGGTGGGACCATGGCCGGTCTGTCCACCGCGGCTACTGGCCATCAGCTGGGCTTGCTTGTGATAGAACTGCTGCGTTTCGTAAGACTCGACCAAATGCAGCGTTATGCACAGCCCCACGTGAACCCCGGAACCGATCATGATCGTCAGCGGACGGAGAATTGAACTGTATCGGTTAGTCTTGTGGTTGATCGATCGCAGCAGCAGGAACAGAATCAGAATCGCGAACGTCGTCGTTAGGAACGTAAGTGGCAGATTTAACAGCAGTTCGGACGTAAACAAGTTAAAACTAAAGTGAATATTGTAAGCGTCATAGCATAGGTAGAAAATTCGCAACAAGCAGATAATGATCAAGATCAAATGAATACTGATGAAGTACGATTGCGAGAAGAGGTGCGTTAGCTTATCGTAAAAGATGATCTTAAATATGGAATACACGGCCAGAATCGTAAACAGAATCGCCGACAGATACACGTGAATGTTCCACGCGATCGTCCACGTGCTAATGTCTTCGATGTCGGTAGCAAAGTTCCTATCGTTCCCGAACCCGTTCCCTAATTGACCTTCCTCAGCGCTGGCATTCGCTTTAATCATCACCGATTTCAGATTCAAGTTCGGCATCTTCTGTGTGATCGGCGACGACGAGGATGACAGATGGACCAACGAACTCACCGTACTGGTCTGGACGCTTTGCGCCTGAGTCGAGTAGGAACTCGCTTCCTTCTCCGCAACCACGTCGTCCTCTTCCTCCTCGTCATCCTCGTCGTCCTGATCATCCCTACCGCCACTGTTCTCACTTCCATCGAAATCTTCCCCTTCATCCCCACCATCATTCCTATCGTTTCCCTTATTTAAACTTTTCGAATTACTCAACGACGTCACCGGTGGATTCAGGTCGAAGGTCGGTTGATTCGGCCGCGGTGCCGACGTCACCGACCGCAGCAGCACATCCGGAATCGTCTGCGTCCTCCCGTTCGAACCGCTCAGTATCCTGGAAATCGACGGGAAGTGCATCCCATTTGGCAGTATAGCGCTGGAGTTCCCATTGCCGTCCAGCATGAACTTGTTGTCCACCCCGTAGCTCTTGGCCGAATCCAGCTTGTTGCTCTTCTCCGACGGTGTATTCAGTGCCTTCTTCCGCTGAGCGTCGATCGATTGCGACGAGCTCGACGGAGCTATACCACCGCCTGGGCCACCACCACCGGTGGGATCCTGCGGTAGGGTCGGTTTCTGCGGATTCACCGATCCATTCAGATCCGGCCGGATGGGGATCCGTTCGTGGCCGGGCATCAGGCTGGGCGGGGGCAGTGGTCGTCGGTTCACGTAGCTTCCGGTGTTGATGATCGTACTGTCGCTGTTCGTTCCCCGCAGGGTCGGCTTATCGGCGAACGGGTTCGTGTAGTTGCGAGGCAGTGGTGGCGTGAAGAAGGTTCGCGACGGCGGCGAGTACGACGGGATGTCCCCCGGGAACATCGGGTTCGTGGGGAAGCCCTTCTTGTTGTGACCTGGAAGACGGGGGAAGAGAGAGAGAAAGGGAGAAGTTAGAAAAGGGGATGGTATGAGTTTATTTTTTTGGGGTTATGATTAGATAATGTCGGGAACTTATGAATACCGAGAACGGTTCCTTCTGCAAATTTCCCTTCAATAGAGCAAATTTCAATCAAAAGCCATAGAGGGGGTTTGCAACGCCCCCGGGAAACCATGGAAATGACGCCCCTTTCCTAATTTATTTTAATTATGAGCGCCCAATTTATAAACAAAGGAGGAATTTTTTTGAGGATTTCTCACACGACGAATGAGAACGACCCAAATTTGAGTTTAGTTCACTCATGAGCGCCAAAAGTGCAGGAACTCAGCGATGAGTAAATTTGCAGGAACTCAGCAATGAGAAAATGAGGAAAGTTGGCGAAAAGTTTACTCAGTCTAGGAGAAATATACTGAAACCTCCGTTTACGAAGTCTTTTTTGAGCTGTATTTAACTTACGTCCCTCTTTTAACGAAGTAAATCTCAAATAAGGGGCTGTCCATTAACTACGTAGACATTTTTTTCGGATTCTTGACCAACCCCCCCCCCCCTAATCCCCCTGTGTAGACAATTGTCCACACAATAAAAAATTGTATGGGCCGTGGATAATTGCCAATCCCCCTAACACTGTCTACGTAGTTTATGGACAGCCCCTAACGAGTTTTCTTTTCTACAAAGTAAATTCCAAATAACGAGTTTTTTTTTGCGATTTTGGGAACGTGGGATATACTGTAAAATACCCCACAATATGGGTATTTTGGAATCGAAGTGACTTTAAGGGACCGGAAACCGATGTCTGACGCCATTTTGAAATCCAAGATGGCGAATTCCGGTTACATTTTTTTTTAAATCTTTATTTAAGAGATTTTTAGCCACAGGCAAGTTTATCTCTACTTCGGGTTACATAAAAACATGGCAATTCTGCCAAATACCCCACAATATGGATATTTTTGGAATCGGAGTTAAGTGAAGGAACCGGAAATCCCTGTCTGATGCCATTTTTAAATCCAAGATAACGGCTTCCGGTTACAGAAAAACTCGAATATTCCATCAAATTCCACACAATATGGGTATTTTTGGAATCGAAGTGACTTTAAGGGACCAGAAATCGATGTCTGACGCCATTTTGAAATCCAAGATGGCGGCTTCCGGTTACATAAAAACTTGGAAATTCTGCCAAATTCCCCACAATATCGGTATTTTTGGAATCAGAGTGACGTGTAGGAACCGGAAGTTGATGTCTGACGCCATTTTGAAATCCAATATGGTAGCTTCCGGTATCAGAAAAACTTGGAAATTCTGTCAACTACCCCACAATATGGGTATTTTTTTTTAATCAGAGTGACGTGTAGGAACCGGAAATCCCTGTCTGATGCCATTTTGAAATTCAAGATGGTGGCTTCCGGTTACAGAAAATCTTGGAAATTATGTCAAATACCCCATAATATGGGTATTTTTGGAATCAGAGTGACGTGTAGAAACCGGAAGTTGATGTCCGACGCCGTTTCGAAATCCAAGATGGTGGCTTCCGGTTACAGAAAAATTGGAAAATATTGACAAATACGTCACAATAAGGGTATCTTTGAAATTGGATTGACGTGTAGGGACCGGAAAATCATGTCTGTCAACATTTTGATATCCAAGATGGTGACTTCCGGTAACAGAAAAACATAGAAATTCTGTCAACTACCCTACAATATGGGTATTTTTGGAAGTGGAGTGGCGTGTAGGGACCAGAAATCGATGCCTGACGTAGTTTTTAAATCCAAGATGACCGCTTCCGGTTACAGAAAAACTTGCAAATTATGTCAAATACCCCACAATATGGGTATTTTTTTTAATCAGAATGACGTGTAGGAACCGGAAATCCATGTCTGACGCTATTTTGAAATCCAAGATAGTGGCTTCCAGTTACAGAAAATCTTGGAAATTCTGTCAAATGCCCTATAATATGGGTATTTTTGGAATCAGAGTGACGTGTAGGAACCAGAAATCCATGTCTGACGCCATTTAGAAATCCAAGATGGTGGCTTCCGGTTACAGAAAATCTTGGAAATAATGTCAAATACCCCATAATATGGGTATTTTTGAAATCAGAGTGACGTGTAGAAACCGGAAGTTGATGTCCGATGCCGTTTCGAAATCCAAGATGGTGGCTTCCGGTTACAGAAAAATTGGAAAATATTGACAAATACGTCACAATATGGGTATCTTTGAAATTGGATTGACGTGGAGGGACCGGAAATTCATGGCTGTCAACATTTTGATATCCAAGATGGTGGCTTCCGGTAACAAAAAAACTTGGAAATTCTATCAACTACCCCACAATATGGGTATTTTTGGAAATAAAGTGGCGTGTAGGGACCAGAAATCGATGCCTGACGTTATTTTGAAAAGTAAGATGACGGCTTCCGGTTACAGAAAAACTAGAAAATTCCATCAATGTGGGTATTTTTGGAATCGAAGTGACTTTAAGGGACCGGAAATCGATGCCTGACGCAATTTTTAAATCCAAGATGACCGCTTCCGGTTAGAGAACAGCATGGAAATTCTGTCAAATACCCCACAATATGGGTATTTTTGGAATCGGGGTGACGTGTAAGAACCGAAAATCGACGTCTGACGCCTTTTTGATCCAAGATGGTGGATGAATGTCTCCCAGATTAAAAAAAAATACCCATATTTTGGGGTATTTGACAGTTATTCCCAGTTTTTCTCAAACTTGATACCGCCATCTTGGGTTTCAAAATTGGGTCAGACATGGATTTCTGGTTCTCACACGTCACCCCGATCCCAAAAATACCCATATTGTTGGGTATTTAACAGTACTTTTCTGACATCTACTTCCGGTTCTTACACGTCACTCTGGTTCCAAAAATACCCATATCGTGGGGTATTTGGCAGAATTTCAAGGTTTTTCAATCTTGGATTTCAAAATGGCGTCAAACATGGATTTCCGGTTGACGTTAAATAAAGGAAAGAAATAATGGATTTCCGGTTCTAACACGTCACTCCGATTCTTAAGATACCCATGTTGTGGGTTATTTAACATTATTTTTCTGCTTTTCTGTAACCGGAAGGCGCCATCTTGAATTTAAAAATGGCGTCAGGCATGGATTTTCAGTCCTTATACGATACCCTGGCTCCCAAAATACTCATATTGTGGGGTATTTGACAGTATTTTCCAGTGTTCCTGTATTCGGATGCCACCATCTTGGATTTCAAAATGGGGTCAGACATGGATTTTCGGTTCTCACACGTCACCCCGATTAAAAAAATATTCATTCTTCTTCTTCTTCGCATTTCAAGCTTATTGTATATCGCATATTAGCTTATTGCGTGCTCTCATCTTAGTGTTCTAGATGCACTTCCACAGTTATTAATTGAGAACTTTCGATGCCTGTGCCATTTTTGCATTGGTATAATTGTGTGGCAAGACCAATCATACTTCTATGCCCAGGGAAGTCGAGAAATTTTCCTACCCGAAAAATTCCTAGACCGGACCGGGAATCGAACCCAGCCACCTCCAGCATGGCCTTGCAAAAAATACTCATATTATGGGGTATTTGACAGAATTTCCAAGTGCGCTCAAATTCGATTTTCGAACCCCGGATTTGGTTCGTAAATGGAGGTTCCAGTGTACCAATGGACTGAGTGAATCGAATCTTTACTTATCTCATATTCGGGAAGATTTTCCTAGACAAACCAGGACAAACATAAAGCAAACTTACTAATCGCTCAGTTCCTGCACTTTATGTGACTTATGAGTAAGCTAAACCTAATTTTTTTCCTTATACTGATTTCATAATTGCAGTTCAGTTTAGAATTAATTTGGAAGCATCAAATTCAGATTCCCTTCGAACTGTTATCAGAAAAAACTTGGAATTCCTGTCCGGATGCTTTCAAAAATTGTGAGAACTTCCTTGGAATGCCCATCATTTAAAGCAATTTAAATTTTTCTAGGACTGTGAACATATATTATTAATATTCAAAATATGAAAATTACTCCAGGCCGTGCAATTTTCTTAAGGGAACATGCATAAATGACGTAGCATTTGAGGGGGGAGGTGGGGGTTTCAGAATTTGTGACCGGCCATGCATTGGATATAGCCAAATTCGCTACAAGGGCGGGAGGAGGTTGATCAACAATATGCTACGTCATTTATGGATGCTCCCTAACTTGTCTTAGAGATCTCAAATCAAGATAAATATTTCAAAGTGTCCTATCTCTTCATCGACTTTCTCTTTCATCAATAGCTCAGCTGCAAAACCTTTCCCTGTTGTATTTGACGTTTTGGACGCTAGATAAGAAACTCCTTCATCAAAGTATGTGGCAGAATTAGCGCGAAATCTGTTTGCATAGCAGTTGTTATGAAAAGAGAAAGTCGATGAAGAGAATCGATCAAAGCAGATAGGACAATTTGAAATGTTCATCGAGAAATGTTTTAATCCCAGCTTTGAAAAATTGCTCCAAAATCTCTTAAATTTATCCTGAAACATATTTTTTTTTTCGAGAGTCGCATACAAAATTTTTTAACCGGGAAATAAATCTGACTCATGTGTGAGTCCCGTTCACTCAAATTCGCAAATGAGTAAATTTTTACATATCACTCATATTTGAGTTCATATTTACACATTCCTGTGACCTACGTTTTTGCGAATTTAAGTGAACGTGATTCAAATATGAGTCAGATTTATTGGACGTGTATGACTTCGATCTTTCCATCTTGGAAAATAATCCTCGTTCTAGAATAGCGAATTTTTTTCTTGAACTTCTATCTAGAAAAGTTGAGTAGGTCCCAGATTAATGAAAATTTGAAGTGTTTCAAAAGTTTCCGTCCAATCGCCAATTTGCGATCTGAATCTAAAATCATCTGAGTGAATTGTTTATTGTCATAAATCGAGTCAGAAAAATGAGTAGATAGAGGAAATGGACAATGCAATTCCATATTGAATTATTAAAATTATTATTTTAAGTAT